AACGTGTTTGGGGAACCCCCCAATGTTTAACTGTTGCGGTGTCCTCGGCTGCATGGACGAACTTCGCTCTCCACCCACTGCTTCAAGGAATTATGAGAAGCGGCGGAAATATCGCATCACCAGGATCTTCGGTGCTCGCAACAGTTACGAGCTGGAAATCTATGAGATGATGCGCCTCTTGTTCTCATTAATTAGTGCACACTTCTCGGCAGATCCCCTGCTTTAAGTGCATGTGCTTTTTTGAGGAAATGCCTTCATGAAGTATGGGTTCCAGGCCAAGATTGGCCGCATGGATGGTGTCATCGTGGCCTATCACAACACGTCCGAAATTTTCGGCTTCCAGTACATTCCGCTGGCAGACATGGAGCGTTGCATTTACGGCCTGGGCCTTCTGGAACTGCTGGATCATAGGGGCACAGGCTTATCACGATTTCTATTGCAAGCTGCTGAATGTTGTTCAAGGCAAGCATTTGTTGGATTCCAGGTCTTTTGCACGGCACACTTGCACCTTAGGCGGCCGCGAGGCTGCCGATGTGGCTTTCGACCTGAGTGCAACTTGCCTGGTCACGGAATAGGGGCTTCGGACAAACACCGCATTGTGGGATTGAAGGACACTCGAGGAACTAGTCGACTGGGTACATACTCTTACATGGCAGCATCTGAGATACTGCAAAGCACGAGGTCGTCAGTCCGAAACACTGTGCGGAGAACCTTAAGTTTTCCAGAGGCATTTGCTAAGAAAATGTGCTGCAAGCCTAGTGAAGCACGACCCAGGGATGCTCACGCAGGTAAAAATCCACCCTTTTTCTTGGCGTCGACGTGCAGGCACAGACAGCCTTCTTGATTGGTCTGAGGTCAAAGTCTTGCAAACATTGCTGGACTTTCTGACCCAGGACTAGAGTTGAAGGAACGGTCACTAGTGAGGCGTCCGGCATGGGGTCGGATTGCTCGGAGCCTGCGCTCGCAGCCAGTCGGCTCAAAAGCCGTACTTCAGAGATGAAATCGAGATTCCGTCAGGACGAAGACCTGGCAAAGTATGGGACTATCAAGATGAGGGCACCGGGTCTGAATGAGCATTAAAACCATGGCTCACCGGACGGCTCTGATCTGAGGTCTCATGCGAGGAGAGTGCAAACTCAGACTTGGGAAACGCGCTTCCTGATTGCATCTCGCTGCTACAGTAGCCGCTGCTAGAGTTGAAACTGCCTGAAACCGTTCAGATGAAGAAGTGGAAGCAGTGCTCCTCCTGATTCAACAAAAGTGCCTGAGAATGGCTTGTCGAGCCAAGTGGTTTGGTGTGGCCACAGGATAGTGTGCTCCATTATCCTTCAATCCCGTGGAAAGTGGGAGGTTGAAACACATGGCTTTTGCGCAGGCAGGCCCTGCCGAGCCGGGCGGTGAATTAACCAATTGCACGTGCTGCACAACGAAACGTGCTGATTTCGCCCCCACCGGTCCTTCCCACTTCCCACCTGTCTTGGACACCTGCCAGAAACACAGCTCCCCGGTCCGGAAACCTTGCAGCACACAGACTCTGCGGCATCAAATCACAGGTGCTGGACTGAGAAGGGCTCAAACGGGTTCATTGCCGCAACAGACTTTGGCGAGCCGATCCGTGTGGTTTTGAGTTCTCGAGCGGCTGTACTGGCTGATGGGAGATGGGTGATGCAAAGTCCAAGTCGGCTACAGCTACCCATCCATGCCAGAATCTAAGAATCGGGTGAGGGGTCACAAAGGTTCAGGACGTCGGTACGGCAAACTGGCTACGTGCGCTAATTATTGTTGACGCTGCGAATCCCTCGGTAGTAGTCTTAGCATCTCAGCTTGGGCACCCTTCGCTGCTGCGGCTGAGGCTAGATGTGTCTGCAGCTGCGGCTTCTTGGATAATTGCATGGCTATTTCCTGCCGCATTCACGCATGCACTTCAGGATTTCTTAGTCTCCTGCAGGTACACTTAGTTACTTGAAGCGACTTTGAATCTAATGGCGCAAGCGGCAGTCAGGTCCTGAAAGAAGGCGAGGAAGCGGAAGTTGATGAGCTTGGGACGGCGGGGGCCTCGGGTAATTGTCGGGGCACAGAAGCCATCTGGCTGTCGGCTTGAAATATTGACATGGCACAAGTACATGCAACTTTTTCCATAGGCTCGGCACTTCCGCCTTCTGGTGAATACGTTCCATGGGGACGGGCCAGCCCCCCAGCTTTGCCAGACCTGGATTCGGCATGCAGGTGGTGGGTGACAAGACGGCTGCATGGAATTGGATTGCCCGAAGCCTGAACACCTGGAAACTTGAAATGTGCTCCAGCCTCAAGGGACCTGCACCAATCGCCCCGTCCAAGCGATCAGCGGCAGGCTCTAGCAACAAGTTCCCGAAATCAGTCTCGCGATATTGCAACAAGCCCGATGTGAAGCGTCTTCAGAGAAGCCAAGACAATGCGACGTGCAAGTGACTCTTTCTTGCTATAGACAGACATACCCCTCAGCTACATTTGTTGACTGGCGGAATCTTGGAGGGTTCAGATTCAATGGGAATCTGGATTTCAGCTGTGGGGACCTCACGGGAAAGCGCCTAATTTTGTGCAGGACCCGGCGCAAGGCGGACGAGGCGCCGCACGAGAAGCGGTCTGAGAGCCGCAGTCAAACACTCCGTGGCCAGGCCTTGCAGACTGGCGACTATGTCGAAGTGACCTTTACGGAGGTCGTTGTCAATGCCTTCCTCGAGAAACGAGGCAGCATCTTGTTGACCAAAGCATTTGCAGTCGCCAGGCGACAACAAAGTAGCTAAGTGCAGCATCCACATAGCACATAGCACATGGGTAATGCTGGTTTCAGGAGGTAGCTGCACCTGTCTATCCTTCTGTCCAATGCCTCAGGCGAGTCAGGGACGACGCAAGCCCAGGAAGAGTGGCCACCGACTTAAAGTCGAGAGTTGCACGCCTTCAGATCTGAGAGATGGTGAGAGTCATCATCAACTAGCTCATTTGTCTTGGCAAAGGTCTCCATGGCAGGCTTTGGATGACCTTGCTTCTGCAATCCAGCGTGTCTTCCAGGGAGGCGAAGAGAAAAGGCTCCTTGTGGAAGTCGCTGAACCGCAGAGCCAGCAGACGGTGGTCCAAAGTCGAGATGTAAACAATCTCAGACAAGCATGTGTGCTCGGATTGCCGTGCAGCAGCTTTCGGGCTAGAGAGCCTCCACAAAAACAGACGCAAGACAAGCTGAGAAGCAAAAGGTGCAGCTCTAACTTACGATCTGGCAGCGGTTTGATCTCAGAACGCCCCGTGACGTTACAACCAACATGCAGGGCAACACAGTGCAACCAAAGGGTTGAACCTATGAATGTAGAACAACTGAGTGGTTGCGACTCAGCGCTTTAGCTGCAATGGCTCAGCACTGCGTTGGTTTGCAGCTTCGGAAGTTCATAGCCTACCNNCGTTTCTCACGAGCAGCTGGTCGGCAACACTTTACAGGTCGCTTTCGTCCGGCGTGGAGAAAGCTAGCAGTGGGTGGCAATGTCGCCAGTCTGGTTCTTTGCGAGCTAGAGACAAATTTGAGCATGAGGTATGGACTGGCCATCTTCTTCTGATTCTGCTTATCCTTCCTATTCACCATGCGACTGCTCCGGCCAACCTGCCGAATCGTGCCTTCAGGTACCGCACATATCGCATCTGGGCTGTATAAGGAAATCAGAATAAGTCTGAGAGGTTAGCATCCTTGTGGGGGTGTTGCTGAGGAAATATGCCGCAATCTGGTTGTCCAAGTTCTCCGGACCCACGAACCATGACAAGTCCTCGAAATTCTCGCCCTAAGGCCAAACACACGATTTCTTCCGAGACCTTCGTCGACGTCATCCGAACCTCGTAGAGCTTTGGTTTGCGCAGGCCAGGCCTCTTGAGGCTAAAAGCAAGAGACCAGGAATCTTACGGTCATCAGCACCGTACGCAGCTGTCGTAGTAGTAGTTGTTGTTGTAG